AAAAAAAAAAAAAAAAATGAAAACCATGGTAAAGCCAGTGGAGAAAAGGGTAATAGTGAGAACACATTTCTGTATAAGACTAGAGTTAAGGACATATCATTAGAAACACGTTTTTAAACGTGAATTGAAACCTTTGTTGGCCAGTGTAATAATTCAAAGTATTAATAATGTAATGTTGAATTTCTAGAGAAAGAAACCCACCATAAAGATGGGGAAACTCATGGTAGCCATTGAACACAACATTGAACATACTGTTCACTATCACTTGGGAGACAAAAAGTTGACAAGGTAAGTGAGGTATCAGATAATATTCTGAAAGTGGCAGTTATAAATAAAACGTTACTGTATATTATATTTTTACCATAAATTGGGCAGCATGTGAAGTTAATAACATTCCTTAATGCAATGTTATCCTTGTTATGCATCAATGAGTGATGAATCGACACTAGTGAGGTAAGACAACCCATCGTCGTTATTAGAATCAATATTAACTTAAAAAGAGGAAGATTTTTTATCAGATGTTCTCCAGTGGCAACAGCCTGGTCGACCAAGCAGTCAACAAGGAAGCCTAGTAGTCTCAGACAGGGTTGAGAGGATAGAAGAGTCATCGAAACCAGTCACAGGCACGCTAGGTTCAAAATAAAAGATGAATTCACAAGGGAAAGAACTGAGTAGTGATTAAAAAAAATAGATGTGGTAAGAGGTAAATAAGAACAAGACACTGAGGAAGTGGACCTGAGGAAATTGTCAGGTAGGGAGAGAAAAATTCATGAGGGATGAAGACTGAGAGAGGACCATGACGGAGACAACACACTACGATGACAACAAGACTTCACACGCCACACAACCCCGCTATCTTTTGATAATATATCATCCCACCACCTACCAACACTCACACATGAGACCACACCAACACTACTCACTACTGCCCCACCAAAACACCAACAACACTACAATACCACCAGTCTTACAACACAACTCTATTGCCACACCCTCCACTGCACTCCTACCAGACCTACGCTACTCACTACTGTATCACCAGAATAACGCCAACTGCAACTACAGCAATAAATAATACAACTGTTCTACTTAGCAGTACTACAACACTACAGTCACATCAAAACAGCACTACACTACCACCAGCGCTACAGCACTACTCTCTACTGCCACATCAATACAAAACCATCACCCCACACTCATACAAAACAACCACCATCACCACTCCTAATACAAAACAACCACCATCACTCCTCACTAATACAAAACAACCACCATCACTCCTCACTAATACAAAACAACCATCACCCCTCACTAATACAAAACACCACCCCACCATACACCCCATCACCCAAATACAAAACCACATCATCACCACCCCTTTTTACAAAACACCACCGTCACCCCTCACTAATACGAAACAACACCACCCCTCACTAATACAAAACACATACAGTTACAAAACACCCACCTCTCACTAATACAAACAACCACCCCCACCACCCATAATGCAAAACAACACACACCACCCTTCACTAATACAAAAACAATACAACAACTACCACCATCACCACCCTTCACTAATACAAAACAATACAAAAACCACCATCACCACCCTTCACTAATACAAAATACAAAACAACCATCACCACCCTTCACTAATACAAGGCAATCAATACAAAACCATCACCATCACCCCTCACTAATACAAAACAACCACCATTACCATTCCTCACTAATACAAAACAACCACCATTACCATTCCTCACTAATACAAAACAACCACCATTACCATTCCTCACTAATACAAAACAACCACCATTACCATCCTCACTAATACAAAACAACCACCATTCCCTAATACAAACAACACCATACCATCACTAATACAAAACAACCACCATCATCACTCCTCACTAATTACAAAAACAACCACCACCATCCACAATACAAAACAACACCACCTCACCTCACTATTACAAAACAACACCACCCATCACCCTCACTATTACAAAACAACCACCATTCACCCCTCACTATTACAAAACAACACACCCTATACCATCCCCATCACCCCCCTCACTATTCAAAACAATCACCACCGTCACCTCTCATTAATACAAAACATCCACCCATCACTAATACAAAACACCATCACCCCTCACTATACAAAATAACCACCACCGTCACACCTCACTAGTACAAAACACCACCGTTACTCCTCCTATTACGAAACAACCACCACCATCACCCCTCGCTATTGACAAAACAACACCACCATCACCCCTCGCTATTGCAAAACAACCATCACCCCTCGCTATTACAAAGCAGTCACCACCGTCACCCCTCACTAATATGAAACAACCACCACCCTCACTAATACAAAACCCAACCCCCACCACCTTCCTAACACAAAACAACCACCACCATCATCCCTCATAACAAAACAACCCCACCATCATCCCTCACTAACACAAAACAACCACCACCATCATCCCTCACTAACACAAAACAACCACCACCATCATCCCTCACTAAACAAAACAACCACCACCATCATCCCTCACTAACACAAAACAACCACCACCATCATCCCTCACTAACACAAAACAACCACCACCATCATCCCTCACTAATACAAAACAACCACCACCATCATCCCTCACTAATACAAAACAACCACCACCATCATCCCTCACTAACACAAAACCACCACCACCATCATCCCTCACTAATACAAAACAACCACCACCATCATCCCTCACTAACACAAAAAACCACCACCATCATCCCTCACTAACTACAAAACAACCACCACCATCATCCCTCACTAACACAAAACAACCACCACCATCATCCCTCACTAACACAAAACAACTACCACCATCATCCCTCACTAACACAAAACAACCACCACCATCATCCCTCACTAACACAAAACAACCACCACCATCATCCCTCACTAATACAAAACAACCACCACCATCATCCCTCACTAATACAAAACAACCACCACCATCATCCCTCACTAACACAAAACAACCACAACCACCATCCCCACCCCTCAATAATTCAAAACAACCGCAACCCTTCATTAAAACAAAATCAGCAATACTAATCATCACTAACAAAAGCTCTACCAACAGCTGGGCTGTCGTTCGTACGTTGGACTGCGTGCGGCCAGCAGTAACAGCCTGGTTATCAAGTCCTGGTCCACCGGGAGGCCTGGTCGTGGACCGGGCCGCGGGGGCGTTGATCCCCGGAATAACCTCCAGGTAGGAAGACACTCATCACTCACAAACAGCACAACCACTCATCACTAACACAAAACCTACACTACGACTCATCAGTAACTCGAAACCAACACCACCACTCATCACTAAAACAAATATATCCCCACCACTCATCACTAACAAAACCAACACCTCCAATCATCACTAACATCCAACACCATCAATCATCACTAACACCAACGCCATCAATCATCACTAAAACAACCAACACCATCAATCATCACTAACACCAACGCCATCAAACATCACTAAAACAACCAACACCACTCATCAGTAACAAGAAAACAACACGCGTTAATTACTATTATTCACACGAAACCATCATAACATCAAATAACAGAAACATGAATATGAGAGAAACATAGTAATGACATATATCTTAAGAGAAACTGGAAGAGGCAGCAAAAGAAATCCAAGCTTATGCACTGACAAAATGAATTTCATTGATAATTTTCATGTATCTTAACATAAAACTGTATAAATTTCCATTTCTTGGGACTAATTACTGATGTAATCAGATCACACCTTAATTCATATTTCCTTCCGACATGCGCTATTAAGCCACAGTAAATTCTGACGAAATGAAAAAGCTCCTCTTTACTTATTCTCAAAAAATAAGGGTTACTGACTGCATAAACCTCGACACCGCGGTAAGGTGAACCCAGACTGAGGAGCTGGGAGACAATATGCAGACCAAAGACAATTCCATCTGAGGGAAAATCAAAAACTCAGAAATACTAACCCAGATGTGTCCACCGTAATGAACATAGTGATTAACAGCAACAGTACAAGTTGTGCTCGTAAATATAAAGGTGACGTTCAGGAACCCACACAAATGTTTATTTAAAACACAGTTTTATACATGCCGTCGCTTACTGAAGTATTAAGCATTAAAATACAAAGTGAAACTAAAGATAGTACAGTTGACTGCATCTAGACTGGTGTCTGAACTATGAGTGAGTGCTGGGCCTTCCCTCAATGGAAGAAAAATATTGGATATGATCATAATATACAAAATACTTTAGGGAATAAAGGGGGCAGACAAGAATAAGCTCTTCACCAGGGATGTAACAAGAAATAAAAGAGCAGAGTTACATATTGTACATATCAGTCAGTCAGTCGGGGAACTAAAGACGCACGACTAATTCATCTCAATCAGTGGGAAGTTAAGGCCAAATGAATAATAACTCAAACGAAAATATTGCAGTCATCTCGCAGTATGTGTAATATTTTGTGTATCTAGAAGTAAGTTAAACTAATGTCTGTATATAACAGTAGTGAGTGACATGTTTAATGGTCGTCTGCGGCTGTAGTTGTTATTTATGAAGTCTAAATGTAATTATAAAGCAAGTCGTAGATAAAAAAAAGACTTTATATACAATAAGCAAGTGAAAACAAAGGATAAAGCCAAATATAATAATAGTCAAGTAAATTATTGAAAATTCGATGTTGATTATTTATTTACAAAAGTAATTAACAGCTAATAAAAAAAGTTTTTGTAATTAACAATGCCAGATTCAGTCTTAGCTGACCTCAGTATTAATAGCACTGTCTTGGATCTTTATAGGAATTTAACATCGGTGAGGTGAAAATTCACCACGTTAGCAATAGAACATCACCCTTCATGAAAATAAATCATCCAGAATCCCTGCTCATAAGGTCTAGAGTTAAGCAGACAGAGAACGTAAGTATCGACTCTATGAAAATTAC